CCTCACCTCTGCCACCCTCACCTCCGCCACCCTCACCTCCACCATCCTCACCTCTGCCACCCTCCCCTCTGCCACCATCCTCACCTCTGCCACCCTTACCTCCGCCACCCTCACCTCCACCATCCTCACCCCTACCATCCTCACCTCTGCCACCATCCTCACCTCTGCCACCCTCACCTCCACCATCCTCACCTCTGCCACCATCCTCACCCCTGCCACCCTCACCTCTGCCACCAGCCTCACTCCCAGTTACCCAGGGGAAGACCTACAGCAGAAGCTGCCCAGGACAGCAGCTGCTGGCCACATGTGACCACTGCCCTGGAAATGTGGCTAGTTGAACTTGAGATGTGCGCCAAGTATAAAACATACGCTGGACTGTTGAACCCAGGGGCACTTTACCACTGAGCCACATCGTCAGCCCTTTTTTATTTAGAGATAGGGTCTCACTCAGTTGTTTAGGGCCTCCCTAAGGTGCTGAGGCTGGCCTGGAACTCGGGATCCTCCTGCCTCAGCCTCCCTAGTCCCTGGAATTACAGGTTTGTGGCACCATGCCCAGCTCATACACTGGATTTTCAAGACTTGGTGTAAGAAAAGAATCTTCCTTAAATACCTAATTAATAATTTATATATTGATTAGAAGTTGAAACGATATGTTTCGGATATGCTGTGTTAAGTAAAACACATGATGAACGTTATTTTCTCCTGTTCCTTCTATCTCAGTGTGGCTACTGGGAGATCTTAAATGACCTAGCTGGTCTCCATGGCATTTCTGCTGGTCATGCTGGCCTAGAAGGTACCTGTATTGCTTTGAGCACATCATTATTGACTGAATCAGTCGCAGAAGATGGGCGGGATCTTTGCAGTCAGAAAATGCATATGAGTTATAAATATCACAATTGAAAATGAATTAATCTTAGACCAAAATAGTTTGAAATGTGGCACAATAAATACCATTAACACTCCGTGCGATGCCCAGCCCACACGGGGCACAGTGCTCTCACATTCGTTGTCTCTTTGGTTCCTGGTACTAACCCTGTAGGGCAAGTCTAATTAGTGCCACCCTAGATGGCAGCTCTGGGGGCAGAAGGACCTGCCTAAGGCCAGCCCACCCATCTCCACGCACCATGCGGCCCTTGGGGGCCAGGTGCTGTGCTAGACACCCAGCGTGGCTATCTCATTTCATATTTGTGTTAGCGCTATGAGGTGGACACATACACCCATTTAATAGATCATTCGACTAAGTCCTGAAAAGTTAAGGGACCTGCCCAGAGCCACCTAGAGACGGGCAGAGCCAAGGTGTGGACCCAACTTCCTGAATGCACTGTGCCCGTGGTCCATTCTGCCTGGCATTGCCAACATGGCCACAGCTGGTGGAGCACAGTGTCAACAAAACAAAACAGTCTTCTGAATTGGAAAGACTGGGGTTTACATTCCCTACAAGAATCTGAACAGTAAACGTACTGGCTGCAGGGAGAGTGCTAAGGAACGCACCCATGGCTACAGGTGAGGAAACTGTGTCCCTGAAAAGTCAGATGACAGACAGGGAGGATTGCAGTCAGTGCCCCTCGGGGCAGAGGTCTTCCTGCGGCTCCATCCTGACCCGCCTGCTGCTCAGGCTTCTCTAGCTGCAGGAACCCATCCGGTCCTCACCAGATGCTGAGCGACTGGCCGGCTGCACCGCATGCCATCCCCCCCAGCCCACCCTCCCCTCTTTAGCCGACCCTTCGTCCACACGCCCTCAGCAGACACGTGCGACGTTCTTACGTTGTAGTGGTTTGGTGCGGGGGTTTCGGATTTGAGAACTTTCATGAAGCTTGGCAACTGGAACATGCTAGAACAGGAATTACTGAAGTCTTTCTTCGAAATAAAATCTGATGGGATAGTGTACGCATTCGCCGCGGGATATTTAGAAATGATGGTGCCCAAGCGGACGCTCTGTGAGGAAGAAGCCAAAGGGATCAGCGTTGTCACATCTGTGGCCCTGAAGGACAGATCAAAGGGATGGTGCCCAGTCCTGGATCTAAAAACACCTTCTAAAGGGAGACCACGGGGTAACGATGATCCATCGACCTCAGGCTTTGAGGATCTGCCCTGGGAAAATGCGAGTTTGGACCCGTTCTCCATCTGTAAATTAACCCAAATTATTCATCGTCTGTTTGGGACTTGGCAAAAATAATTTTGCCATAAATGCATTTCCACCCAATCCTGTTAAGGTTGACTCATGGGCGGTTGGGTAATCTATATGATGGGAAGTTTTAGACTTTCCTCCCCGGCCGAGACTTTCCCTCTGAGTAAATCCTGCATCTTGTTTCTTAGGTTAAATGGTCCGAGCGAGGAACTGATTCTCCAGGAACTGATTCTCGAGTCTTCAAGGTAGCGGAGGCCAGCCTCCACCCACGCCCCCACCCCTCCCATCACTGCCTTTCCTAGAACCCTTTAATATTCCTGCTGTTTCAACCGACCCAGGGCCGTTCCTTTCATGGAGACATGATAAACTATTTTCAGTTGAAAAACAAACAGAATCAATGTTTGTCAAATGAACAGGGACAAAAGCCACAGAAACTCAGCGATAACATCGCTTTGCCCCGGCACAGCATGGCATTGGAGTCTGATAAAACATTTCCCATAATTTTATGGTTAAAAGCTTGAGAACACTGCCCTGGGTTTCCCCCGGGCTGACAGGGGTCAATAAACACAAACACAGAAGTGGGGGGAGCTGAGGAAGGCATCCGCCCTCCATCTCGGCCCACCCCACTCTGTGCTCAGTGGTGACGGTGCCCAGGCCTGGTCTAGGGACCACCAGAGGTGGCAGTGTCCTCAGCCAGGGCCTAGTCTGGCTCCTTCTGATCTAAGAACGTGTTGAAGTTCAGGCCCCATAGCCTGGTCCATCCTTTGCATTTGGCCAATTGTTTACCAAGAACCTTGCACTGAGGAGTGAATCCCAAGATCATCCCCACTTTACGGGTGAGGACATTGGACTTCTGCCCGCTAAGTGGTGGGACCGACAGTCTTAGCCAGGCGGCCGACCTGCACCTATCCCCCAACCTAAAAAGAGTAGGTGAAGAGGCACGGTCCCTGACTAACTGCAAATTCATTCCATCGTAGAATCTTTTTGGCTAAAAAGACATTAGTTTTTCATTTGGAGGAAAAAATTATTCTAAAAAATCCCCAGTACAGCAAAGTTTCCAAGGTGTTGTCACGGGATTAGCTTCAGAGCACAGTGACTTGCCCGCCCACGCTCCACAGCCCTGGGTCACCTGCGGGCTGCGGTCTCCCACCTGGCCACACACTGGCATTGGGGAACCTCTCTCCAGCACTAACTCCTCCGGTGTCACTCCTGCCGGCGCACGGAGAAAGGCCCCCTGTGTCCTTTGCCTTCCTAGCCAGTCCTGTGAGAAATTCTGGAACAAAGACTTGGAATCTATTAATGGGGCACTTGACACCCTGTGAACCCAGAGATGACAGGTCTTCTCCTTGAAAGGCGGGCTGTCGCCGTTCCAGGTGACCAGGAAGTTTCTAAAATTTATAGACCCAGAGGTTCGGGTCAGCCTCACCCATAAGTCACACTCCTCCTGGCCGCGGCCCTCTTCCTCTGGGGGGGGGCTACTCTAATTCCCTCAGAGCCTTGGGATCCGGAAGTGGAGAAGGTGCTCAATGTGAGGGTCACTGCAAGAGGGGTGGACAGACGGCATTGTCCCTGGGCCGATGCAGGGACACCTGACAGATGGCATCAACACCTGGGGCCTCTGCCCAAGGATGCAGGAACTTAAGTGTTTGGAAACATGAATGCAAAGTCCCTCCACCGTCCAAGGGAGGACAATTCGGTGTCTGCCTTCAACAGAAGGGAGCCCCCAAAGGGTTTGGTTCTGCGCTTGGAAAGGCCTGAGTAGATTCCATCATCTCAGAGCTACCCGCGGGCCCCTCTCCCCCAGATGGCCCGGCCTTGTCATCTGGAGGTTAATCCTACAGGATGTTGTTCTCCAATTCAGTCCCCGTCCTGGCACCCAGGAAGAAGGGCAGAGCTCCTCCCTGTGAAGAGGTTCTGGGAGAGAAAACCTAGGTGTTGCCGGAAGTCCTGTTCGTGACTCAGGTGGCAACAATCATAACATTTAGCCTGTTCACGATGCTTTGCAGTTTCAAAGAGCATTTCACTCATGCAATCTGCCCAGCGCCTCCAGGGAGGCTCCACTTTTATGAGACAACTAGGGCACGAAGGGTGACGTGCTGGAGGTCACATCGCGCTCCACCACTGAGTCAGGATCAGTTCTTAAGTCCCCTCTCTGTGCCAGGGCATTGTAAGATGGCACTTCTTTTGACAATGGCTTTTGAGCCTTTTTCCTGGGGTGGGGACAGAAAAATAGGTAGAGGCCTTCTGTGTGTGGACTAGCTGGGGACACGGGTGTCCTTGGCCCCTTCAGTAATGGGAGTGAACTCCCAAGGCGGTCTGCTTCTTGAATGTTCAACTCTGCCAAACTTGACTTCCAATAAGCAGTGGCTACAGTCAGCGTGTCCTGAATGGTCCCTGCGTGTGGTTTAAAAAAAGTCAATTCTAAAGTCAGGAATCACAGCTCGTCTATGCAAGAGACTAGGATCACCTCTGGAGGGACAAAGGGTACATGGGTTTTGTCCTCTCCTACCTCAGTCTCGCCCCAGTTTGGTCCTTTCTCTCACTCTATCTATTTTTCCTGCCAATTTATGAATCTTTTTAAGGCTGACAGTCCTTTTCTTAAAAATGATTATAAATTGGAATGTGGCTTAGGGGTAGCGCAAGGGCCGACCCTGAGTGAAGTCCTGGGTTGCGTGGCCAGCGGGAAAAAAGGAAAAACAGGAAAGGAACACCTTCCCCAGGTCTGGCCAGGGTCACGGGCCCTTCTTCATGTTCGATTCTTCCATTTGATCGTCTAGAGACCTCCACAAAGAGACAAATCCCACACCATACAAAAAAGAGGAGGAAGAAGCAGGGATCACGACTCAGGCCGCTGCCTGCTTTCTTTTTGGTTCTGTCAGATTTCTCAATAATCTGAACAACCTAGTTAGAACAAGCAAGGGGTCAAAATCGATCTGAGGACAAAATACGGTAAGAGTGACGTGTTCCTGTCATGCCTAAAAATCTCAGGAGGACACCCGCTTGGCCCGCTTGATGACGGCAGCATTGGTCTGGACAATCGGGTCTGGATGTGCCTCTGGCAACGTGTGACAATGGAAAAAGAAAATTATTTTGACACTGGGCCCAATTTACCTGTGTGCAATCTGGGGAGGCATTTCCTCTCCTAATTAGAAGCAAGGCCTCTGGAGAGGAAGGACCCCGTGTCCAGGGTCCGACTCCACGCCGCAGGAAAGAATGAATGACCCCCACCCCGGGGACGGCTCTCACCATGGAGGGAAAGGTGCAGGTCCCCTTCTTGGACAGTGAGACGCTGTTGAACACAGGAGACTTGTGGATGACGTTGTAGAACCCAGGACCCGGAATGTCATCCTGGAAGCCAAGAGAAGGCAGCGGCATTAGGTCGCAGCAGCTCCAGGGCGCTTTTCCGCCAACGTGGCATCTGTTGACACCAGGCCTCACTGTCACCCCACGGGACGGGCAGAAATGCCCCTTCAATGGGACGGCAGTCCAGCTGCACCATTTCCCAACTTGCCCAGTGTCTCTCTCAGCGACCGAGCGTGGGACAGGACTCCCAAGGACCACACCGAATCGAACTCCCAAAGAATGTTGTTGGGTTTTTTCATGTCATTAGAGAAATGAGGGTACAAAGGGACACCAGATGAGGCCGGTGTGCAGGTCCCGGGTATGGCTTGGGTAAGGGGACGGGGACGGTTTCACGTCGCCACACCCTCCTGACTCAGCTTCCTCCTGGGCCCTTGAGAAGAGAAACCAGGGCGACCTGCCTCCCACGGGAGATCGTTTCTAACCCAGATAAAAGGAGGCCAGCTCCTGGGACAGGTGCTCAATGCCACAGCTGTGCTGGACAGGGACAGGAGCAGAGCCACAGCAGCCAGGCGGCCACTTCTGTGGGACAGCAGTCCAGCTGCACCATTTCCCAGGCTAGTCACCAGGCGTAAGAAAACGTCATCGACAGAAGTTGGCCAGGCGAGTGGCTCAAATGATGAGGAGGCTTCACCGTGGCAAGCGTTTACTGAGCACCTACTTGGTGCCGGGGCTTTTCCAAGCTTGTCTGGGTCTCAGCACCACCCCATTCCACAGACTCCGAGGCACAGGGAGGTGAATTCGCCCACGGTCCCACTGCCCTAAGTGGCAGTTCCTGCCCTCAGCGTGATGTGCGTGGCGCTGTCTCCTTTACGCCTCACCCGGCCCTGGCAGTGGACGCACTATCAGAGCCACATTTAAGGAAAGTGGGGTTCAGAGGAGGGGGGCCCATGGCTACTAAGAGCTGGGCCCCAGATTTGAACCCAGGCACCAGACTTGGATTTTGCCATCTCCAGTCCCTGCCGCCCAGCTACGTCCTGCCCTGACCACCTTCCTCGGGCAGAAAGAGGCCTTCGAGGACTTTCCAGTCTGACAAGCGCTGCTAACCAGCACCGAGACCACAATGCCCGACTCCCGACCCCGTGACTTTCCCCGTCTTTCCTACACAATCTCACCGGAGCATTAGTCTGGTTCCGTGGGTAAGAGTTAAATCTAGTTGAACTGAGAACATGGTGAGACTGTGTGGGTTCAAATCCTGGCTCTGACATTTACTAGTCACGTGACCTGGGGTCTTCTCGTCTTTAAAATGGGGATTAAATGAGCAAGTGCTATAAGGTATCGGGACGGTGCCCCACACCCAGGGAGCGCTCGTGGTGGGGAGCTGACCCTGCAAACAGCTCCCTAGAGAAACGCCTCCTCATCCTGCAGCCCCCACACCTGCGCCCACCACCAGGTCCTCTCAACCCTCAGCCTGGGCGCTGGTGTCTGGGTTCGCCTGCTCCTGTCCCTGCAGTCAGCTCCCCTTCTGTCCACCGGGGACTGTCATTATCTATAAATCACCTCCTCTGCCCACCTGCCACGGGGCAAGGGTCAGAGCATTCGGCACAGAGGAAATGCTGCGGCCACCAGCTACATGACCTGGCACAAGTCACCTCTTTGGGCCTTAGCTTCTCTCTCTAAATCCAAGGTGTTGGGCCTTGGATGCCACTGAGTTTCCCGAGTCCCTGAATCTAGGAAAAGCTGCAGCAGGAAGTGTGTGGCTCTTCTAGGTTTAAACTAGGGACAGAAGAGGGGCTGGGGCTGTGGATCAATGCATGTGGGAGGCACTGGGTTCAATCTTCAGCACCGGAAAAATATAAATACATAAAATAAAAGGTATTATATCTAAATACACATATATGATTTTTTTTAAAAGGGACCCAAAAACCACATGTCTAGGTCCCAGTCTACCACCTCTGCTCACACCTGACATCTCTCTCCCCAAGAATTTTCTGAGCACCCGTGTCCCTGGGGAGCCAGGGTGGCTAGATGAAACACAAACTGCGGACGGAGGATGCGCCGACCCACTGTGCCCAGCTCAGGCAGGATTTCAGATAAACGCGCAATAGCTATTTTAGTGTAAGCTTATCCCATGTAGCATTTGGGCCATACTTACACTAATAAAATAGCCATCCCACACTCTAATGGAACTGAAGGCCTGTATTTTAATCTGTGAAATCTGACCCTACTGGACCTCAGTCATACTTTAACTCTGCCACACTGCGAACTGGCTTGAGCCCAGGGCAAGCAGGAAGAGGACTGTCACCTCTGGGCCTGGAGGAAACAGTGCTCCCTTTTGCTCTTAATGAGTGTCCATGGAGAGGCCTCCCGGCAGCAGTAGGCTGCAGCTGGCCCGTGGCACCTGTGAGCCGAGCTGCTGAAAATAGACTTGGCCAGGGCAGGAGTATTTAAACCAAAGGGACTGGCAAAGGCTCCTTGCAGAGGGGACAGCGGGGTGACCTTCAGGTGACAGCCAGCTTCGGGGGATCCAGGTTTTCTCCCACAACTCCTTGGAGGGGGTGGCTCTTTGGGCGGATGATAAAAATCCAGAGCCTTTCCCTACGGGATGACAGTTCAGATGACTAATGTTTTGTGACAGTGGTGAGTTAAGTTGGGAGGGTGTGAACTTGGCCACCCCTTGGCTTCTTGGCTGGGACCATCTCAAGAAGCAAAACCAAACAAACAAAGCAACGAAAATGGGCGTGGGGAGCGAAGGGGGAAGAGAGTCACAGTCACCAGGGCTCTGCTGACTGCTCTGGAGAGCTGCACTGAGCCCCTGCCAGATGCCAAACTATTGTCCCCATGACTGTGTCCTGGGGGCGGGAGTCATGACATGAGAAGGGGGCAGGACAGTGACAGAGCATGGAGGCCACAGTCATCATCCCCATCGCTGCTCTTCACAGGGCTGCAAGAGCCTTGGGGGAGTCAGGACCCTGCCGGGGGCCAGAGGTACGCAGGGTGGACTGGCAGAATGACTGGCAGGTGTGTCCCCATCGTCTCACCCAGTGTACCTCCATGCAGCATTTGGTTGAAAAGCACTTTGAATCTCATTTGAAGCATTCAATTCCTGGATGGGCACATCTGTGCCAAGATGGACGACAAGCCATAGTCACCTGACCTCAGACTAGGCACAGAGAGGGGAGAGAGGGAGGGGAGGGAGGGAGCAGGGACATGGCAGGACTTCCAGAGCTGAGAGCCAGTCACATTTTCATCCAGCCCGATATTAAAATTCTGTCCGATTAGGACTTTTTATCAAATCACTGGTTGGTCAAACCAACTTCTGGCTTGGAAAATGCAGGCTCTGCAGAACCAAAGACCCCACTGGATCAGCAAGGTGATCCGCCCGGCTCTGGGCTGTCTTAGAAGTGACTAGCTGGTGTTTCTCAGGTGAGCACAAGGTGGATGGACCAGGGCCGCTCTGGCTGGGGTGTGTAACAGGGGGAGGCCAGGCCTGAGGGGGAGCAGCTCTGGCCTGCGGCTGATCTACTGGCAAAATTGCCAGCAAGTTCAAAGTTTCCCCGGGAAGAGCTTCTTTTGACAAAGGCCTTAGTTTCCTGGTCTCAGGACAATGTGTCCATCCACCCTTGACTTCACCCAAGGCTACGGAGCTGCCACTGAGGGGGCTGGGGATCTAGCTCAGAGTTTGTGCCTCCCATGCACAAGGTCCTGGGTTCAATCCCCAGTACTGCCAGAGAGAGAGAGAGAGAGAGAGAGAGAGAGCTTCCACTGAGTCTGACTGTGGCCCAAGAAGTGCAGAGAACACAGACCAACAGGTAAGAGAGCTGGCATCTCCCCAGGACACACGCCCTCTCTGGGACACACGTCCCTCACCACCTGCGAACCTGCAGAGGCAAGGCGGGGGGAGGGCGGGGGCATGGCCTGTGGTTTTCTAAGTGCTCCTGAACCCCATGGGCAATCCAGGGAGGGACAGAGGAGGCAGCAGCCTCAGCTTTGCTTTCTCTGGTTCACAGATGTGCTTTAGCACGTCCTTAGGGCCACACAGCTTGGGAAAAGGTGACCTCCATCTAGGGTGAATTGGGAATGAAAAGGGGAATGCGAGCAAACTTCCAGCAGGTCCAGGCTGTGCTCGGTGACATGCAGGCCCAGCCTGAGTGCAGAGGACCAGCCCAGCTGCACACAGGTAGAGAAGGTCCAGCCGCACAGACTGTCCGTGCAGACACCAAGCCCTGCAAAGGACTCCTGCCCCCAGCAGCCATCTCCTGGGGACCGTGAGCTGGCCAGGAGGCCACAGCCTTGCACAGTTGGCCTGGGGAGGAAGGCGGGCCCTCGGGAGGCAGCCATTCCCCTGCTCCAGACACACTAGTGGGCCCCGGCGGGAGGTGAGGATTCAGGCCAGGGATGAGCTCAGGCTCAGGGTGTGGACGTTCCTGTCCTGAGGAGGGCGGGGAGGCCTTTTAACTCGCATTGCCTCACTAAATTATTGGGTGATGTTCTACAAGCTCCTTAGCTTCCCAGTGCTACGTTGATTTTCTGTGTCTACATATGACCTGAATTCTATGTTTCCGATGAGGAAGTTGAAGCCTAGAAAAGACACACGGCTGGTGTGACAGCACCCAGTGACAGAATGGAACACGGCGGGGGGCCTGATCTGTGGGTCCCATGCCCTTTCCATTAACCTCCATGCTTTCAACATCAAGTTCAAATACGTAGGGTCACCATATTTGAAAAGTGGGGATCAGACTTCTGAGCGCGCTGTCTCTGTGTTTGATGCTGCCTGTAGCTTTGGCTGGCTGCCACCCTGGCTTCTTTGGTAGAAAATGTTCTGAAAATGCTAGTGTTTTAAATGACAGTTTATCAACGTCGGGCCTCTGAGGCCTCTGGACCTGCGTCTCCAGACCCAATCACTCACATCTCGCCCTGGCCAGAGCTCTAGTTGCCAGCGCCCTTTCTTAGACACATGCTGACTTTCATCAGCCAAATTTACGGCCTCGCAGGCCACAAAAGCAGGCGTGGTGCAGTGTGGAAAGCGCAAGAGGCTTTGGAGTGAGCTGGGCCTGGGCTGAGAGCTAATTCTTCCAACGCTGAGTCAGCAAATATTTATTGAGCGCCTCTTCTGTGCCCAACCCTGCGTGTGTGGTGACCTTGGGCGGGTCACTCTAGCTCCCTAAGACTCAGTTTCCTCTTCTGTTAAATTAAAATAATAAACCCTCCCTGTTAGCATTGTTCTGCGGAGGAGAGGAACAACCTAGCAGGGATTTGACACATGGCAGGGATCAATCAGCGGTGAGGCCGGGCTGCAAACACCCTGGAGAGGGACATTATGGTGTGGTGACACTGCCACGTGGGAACCCAGATGGCAGCGGAGAAGGGCCTGGCAGCTGAGATCCAGAGAAACTAGGAAGGAGAGAAAATGCCTGAGCAAATATTTATCCTCTTTGGGGAAATCTACAAGTGATTTTAAAAAATATGCGGGTGTGGGGTGGGGGTGGGGTGTGCACAATATTCCTTATTGTTTGCTTCTTAAAATCCTGAAATATCTCCAGTGAGCCGCCAACGCTCTCTGGCTCCTCGCTCCTGCTCACGGCGGTGGAACCAGGCTGAGGAGGCCCGGGGCCCTCAGCTTCACACCTGGCCTGTGCTCAGATCCTGGACCTCCTTGTCCCCCTGCCACCTGCAGGAGACCCCATTTAGAAGACAGCACAAGGTCACCGAGGCCATCACTCCTCCAGAGGAGGGTTCTCCTCCGGGTCTTGATTCCATGAGGGAATGAACCATGGAGTTGCCTCGGCCCCTGCTGGTGAGAGGGCAGAAGGCCAGGCCCCAGAATCCCCAAAGTAGAAAGAGGGTAAGGAGACACAGAAATGTGGGGAAGAGGGTGCCGACGGAGGGAGAGCAGTCCTGAGCTATGGCTGAAGGAAGCTTTTTGGAAAAGGTGTGCGGCCCTCCTCACGAAGGCAATTCTGAATTTATTAGACTCCTCCCTCATGTCATTTGAAGAAAATCGTGATTTCTTCCCATGTGATATGGACTGGAGTGAGGCTTTTTTTTCTTAACTGAATACGCATCGGATTGGGGGAATTTTATATTTTCATGATCTTCAAATATACTTTTTAAAGATATGTGGTTCCCTTCAATATTTTTGACACCATGGGTCCAGAAAAGGCTGCTGTAATGTCCCAAGACAGTCTTACAGCGCCCCCCAATGGCCGCAGCAGAGGAGGCCGTGACTCCTTTGACGACACTGCCCTCTGCTGTTCACAGAGAGACTCACAACATGTCTTCAGGCTAAAATCCCAAAATAACCCACCTCCAACACAGTGTCATTACCTGCTTATGATAAAATCTCTTGGCTTGACTGTTAAATCCTTTTTTTTCTTGTTCTGGAGCTACTGGAATTTGTGATTTAAAAGGAATGGAGGGTTTTGTTGGATATGCAGCAGTAAAACCTAAACCACAAAAACAAAATAAAAATCAGCACCAAAAAATGAAGTGACAAATAAATACAGAAAACACAGAGGTGTACACTAAAGTTTTATTTTAAATGGAACAGAAGAGAAACTTGCCTTTTATTTGTTTATTTTTTTACTGGGGATTGGACCACTGAGCCATATCCCCAGCCCTTTTTTTTTTTTTTTTACTTTGAGACAGGATCTCACTAAATTGCTTAGGGCCTCCCTAAGTTGCTGAGGCTGGCCTCAAACTCTCAATCCTCCTACCTCAGCCTCCTGACCCACTGGGATTACAGGCGTGTGCCATCACACCCAGTGAAACTTGCCTCTTGACAAGAGACAAACATGAAACTGAATTTTCAAAAAAGTCTTCCCCACGAGTTTCTCTTTCCCTTTTGGTAAGTTATTGGGGTTTCCCCCTCTCCAGTCTCACACTAATGAGATGTGGTCCCATAAGCACACTGAAGCCTCAGTCACAGGCAAAAGGAAGGATGTGACAGGAAGGATGACCGCCTGGAAGAGGGGCAAGGCAGGGGACAGAGCCATGGCTCTCAGTCCTCCAGGGACCGGGGTCGGTCACCTAGAGATCTGCAGAGGTTCGGGGAACCCCGGAGCCCAGCGGCTGGCACTCTAGGACGCTGTGCAAGGCAGGTGCTTAGAGCAGACATGGGGTTCAAAAGCAGAAAGAGGGTACTTCCAGAAAACCAGGCTCACGCTGTGGATGTCTGGGCTGGGCGTGGAAGTGCTCAGATGATGTGTCCCCCTCCCCCCGACTGGGAAGTTGTCCCAGTGGCTAGAACTTGACAGTGTCGCTCTGCTGAACAGGTGGATTACAAACTGCAGCCTGTGAGTTCAGCACAGGGCTGAGGGCTTTTGAGCCTCGCCCCTCCCTCTTCCCCTTCCACCCCACCTGGCAGGGGCAGGCTGATGACAGGGCCCTGTGCTCCCTTCTGGGACATTCCTGAATTCAAACCATGAAAGCCCCTGCCCCCCCTCCAGCCCCACCCCTAACATAACACAAGGAAGGCCCCCTGCCAGCGGTCTCCCTGCCCCAAAACCATTTTGGAATAGTTAAGGCCTGTCCTGCCCACCCCCCCACCCCAGGAAGCCTCGTGTGTGACTGAGGGACCTTCTCACACCCTCCCGAGACCCCCTCCCCACTCAGTGGTGTTGAGACCCCTGCCAAGTTTGAGTGGGGTCCATCCTGTGTCTGGGCTGTTCACAGCACTAAGCCAAAGCATCTTGACCTCAGAATCCTCAACCTCAGGGAGAAGATACCGTGGCCGCGGAACCAGATGGCCAAGGGAAAGGAAAGGGGTGTGGGTGGCCAGCATCGATGTGTGTTTGCATGAAAACAATCCTGCAGGCTGGTTTCTTGGTCTCTGATTTTTTCCCCCCAGCACTGGGGATTGAACCCAGGGGTACCTTACCATGAGTTATAGCCTCCGTCCTTTATACTTTTTATTTTGAGACAGTGTCTCACTAAGTTGCTTAGGGCCTCTCTAAGTTGCTGAGGCTGGCCTCAAATTTGCCATCCTCTTACCCCAGCCTCCCAAGTTATTAGCTTACAGGCATGCTCCACGGCACCTGGCAGTCTTTGAGTTTTTGAAAAAGCCAAACTCCTTTCCAGAGAGGAAAACTCAATGCTAATAGAAGCTTCTCTGGGGTACTAATAGGAACCAGCTTTACAGATGAGGAACCTAAGGTCAGAGGGGTTAAGTTACTCACCCAAATCACACAGCCGTAACTAGAACAGCTGGGATTTGAACATGATTTGTCTCATGATCACAGGCTCTTAATTACTACACTGTGCTTCCCCCTCCTGAGCCAGGCCCATTGTAAGCACTCAGTAAATGAATGATGAAATAATGGAGAGAGGAACACTCTAGCTTCATTTGCCTGGGCTGAGCATGGAGCATGTAGAAGAAGCTGAAAGTGTGGAGACAACAGTGCACGGCACGATCCCTCCCTTTGCCACTGCTCCTCATTTATGTAGGTGATGGCGACGCACCCTCTGCCTTAAGGATGCGCTCCAGCAAGTCAAAGAGCAGAGCAGCTGCAAGACTGTGGTTTCTAAAAGCCTAAGTTTGTAAACTAACGAAGGGTTATAGAGGAGGCAGTAAAGACAGGGGAGTTAGAAGAGGGTACAAGGAGGCCATTCTCCTAGGAGAAGGACAGGTGACTGAGATGGAGGCTCTGGCTACAGAGGTGGCAGAGCCCCAGTCGCCCTCTTGATGAGAGTACGCCGTGAAACAGGACCTGAAAAAACCCTCTGGCGACTGAGACTCTGTCTCCAGCCAAAATGGGACTGGAATTGCCTTCCTAGTGAGGAAGAAAAAAAAAATTAATGGGTGAAATACACGAAACAATCAAGACACTGAAATTGGCCAAAGAAAAATGGGATCTCTGAGAAGGGCAATCAATGTGTGCTGCTGCGCCCGGCCAAAAAAATTCTAAAATATATGAAAACGGAAAGAATGGATCACCAGCAAACTGGACCTATAGGAAACGCTAAAGGAGGTCCTTCCCGCAGAAGAAAAATGATACCAATGGGAAATCTGGATCTACAAAGAGGAATGAAGAGTCTGGAAATAGTGAATATTTGGGTATATGTAAAAATATAAAATTATGAATATCAATCAATCATTTTAAATATAAATATATAAAACGTGAATCGGTTTAAAAACAATTGGAATATTTAAAGCAAAAATAATAACAAAGTCGTGTGGGGTTTATAATATCTATGTGTAGAAGTAGAATGTTTGATGATAACAACGCAAAGGCCACAGAGGGAAAAACTAAAATACATTGCTTTAAGGCTCTTCTCCATGTGAAGTGTGAGGACATGACTTCATGGTTGGTTGTGATAAGTTAAAGATGCTTTCTATAGAGATCAATGAGCTTTTTCTATAAAGGGCTCAATAGTAATTATTTTAGGCTTTGCCAACTGCATTGTCTCCACTGCAACCATCCATCTCTGCCATTCCAGAGTAAAAGCAGTCACAGATGATACATAAGTAAATAGGAATAGGTGTGTTCCAAAAAAATTTTGTTTATGAAAACAGGCAGTAGGTCAGATTTGACCCAAAGGCCACATTTTGCCAAACTTCGCTCTATAGCAACCGTGAGGAAAATACTACAAAGAGTTATTCCCAATAACAAAAGAGATAAAGTAGAAGCATAAGAACAATACAAAAGACAAAAAAAAAAGAAAGAATAAACAGGCCAGATAAAAAGCAATTTACAAAGCAACAGACTTAAACAACATAGGAATAAATCACATTAAATATAAGCAGTCTAAAATATCAGAAAAAA